TCAGGCGTATCAGCTGTCTCCATGTGATTCTGTTTTCAGGAGAATTTTCAGATGACACTCAGGCATATCAGCTGTCTCCACATGATTCTGTTTTTTAGCAGTGTGAGAGCATTCCATGCCATGAACTATATTTATATTTAAATATTTTAAACTTTTGTTCATATTAGAATAAAAGTACTTATGAAACAATCTGATATTTATATATTATATATAATTAAGTATAAAATAATGAGAATTACTAATCTCATCGAGAAAATTTTTCTTTAGTTCTACAAGTTTAAATTCGTTAATAAAACTAATCTTGCCACATAAACCTAGTACAATAAAGAAATTATTCCTGTTCATTTTATTTGATTTTCATTTTGCTGCTATAACTCAAAATCAGTTTATTTTGGCACACTGAGCTTCTTTATAAAATACACCATTTACAACATACGTTATTAAATAAAATTCATCCATTTGCAGAAGGTAATGATTAATGAAGAGTCTCATAAATCATCAAAGTTCTAAGAATAGGTGGTTACTGTGTCCTTATCTCTAAATTGGACATCAGTATCACCTTCTTCAAGGTTCAGGAATAGGGCCCCAAAAGATTTCAAGAGACTGAAGATGGGGGGAAAATAAAGCTCTGTCTTTAGAATATGGCATGCCCTTTACAATCATGGACACACTGCAGCTGTGTTTACCTACATACAATCTCCCTCCTCTCTCTCTCTCTCTCTCTCTCTTTCTCTGTGTGTGTGTGTGTGTTTGTATGTGTCTGTCTCTCAGTATCTCTCAACACACACAAACATACATGCAAATACACATAACAGAGATGTAAGTAGAAGAGGGAGGATCAGTTGGGTCTACTGGAGTGGGAGAGGGAGGGAGAGGAAACATTAAGGGCATGAATATGAACAAAACACATTGACTACATGTATGAAGGTAATAGAAATAAACAAAAAAATTGTCAAAACAAGGAAAAAAGGAAGAAAAAAGGAAAGGAAAGGAAAGGAAAGGAAAGGAAAGGAAAGGAAAGGAA